ATACCCCCCTTTGCGATTTTCTTGTCCCCTTTTGCCCAGTGGGCAGATAGAGCGTGACCCGCCTGGCCTTCAGGATTGCCTAGGGAGGGAGGGCCACATTCCTCAAGTGCACCCCCCTGCCTGCCCTCCCGTGTGGCTGATTTCCACACACTTAATTGCAGGGCCAGCATCACTTAAGCTAAGCTGAAGAAGCGTCGGGTCTTGGCCGCATGACAAAAAAGTGTAAAATCGTGTAAAATCAGAGGATCAAACTGATTTCGCCAGGGAAGCAGGCTGTGCCGAAGGCTGGTGCGGTGGAAAGAGAGCCCGTTGCTGCTGCTGCTGCTCCTTTGGCCCTGAGTTGTGCAAGTCCGCCTGTGTGTGCAGCACATCGGCTTCCCAGGCTGCCTCTTGGCCTGTCACTCAGTGTTAATGGTTAATGTTGCCATAAACCCGCTGTTGAGGTTTGTAATCTCTGGGAAGGGAAGCTATCAGCCAGCCATCAGAAGTGAAAAGAACAGTCTGTACCCTGCACAGGCAGGCGGTGGGTGGGGTGTTTATGGCCCTTCCTCGCTTCCTCTTTCAGCAGGGGTGGGGGAGAGAAAGAGCAGCTACTGGCTGCTGTCCCTGGGAAATGCAGAGAGGGGTTGTCACAAGGTCCCTTAACCTGACTCTGGGGCAGGACAAGATGTCCTCTCACCTGATCTGCTGCCAGGTGCTCCATCTGCACTCATGGGGTTTTTTTTTGGGGGGGGCAAAGCAGAGGGGCAGCTCCCCTCCCTCCAAGGTACTAAGATGAAAAGAAAGGACAGTCTTGTGTTCTACACACACACACACACACACACACACACACACTTCCTTCTCATCTCAGGGTCTCCTCAGCCCGCTCCTCAGTTACTTGGCAAACAACTACCACTCTGCTCATCCCCATTTGCACATGAGGGTCCCAAAAGCTCTTGGACCCCATTCAGTATTTGTGCTCTGTTCCTCACCATTGTGGCCATGATACAAGAGTTCAGGGTGGGGAGAGAAAGGGCAGTCTTCCTCCCACAACTCCAAGCCCCTGCTTTGTGTTCACCGCCTGATATAGGTGGAGCTACATTTGTGTGCATACTCAGCCTTGCCTCTGGCTGCTAACTTCCCCTCCTCGCTCTCTCCCTCTGCCAAAAGGTAAGCAGCATCTTCTCCAAACAGAGATCTGCTTTGTTGCCCATGGTGGCAGAGGTAGTAAGAATAAGAAGGATAACTGCAGTGAACCCTAAGTATAGCTGTTCTCGTGGTGGTTGGCCAGGTGCCCTAAAGGGAAGCCCAGAAGCAGGAGTACAGCAGCCCCCTCCCCAATTGTGCTTCCAAGCACCTGGTATTCAGAGATGCACTGCCTCCAATAGTGGAGGTAAAACATAGCTGAGGGATAGTTGCCATTGATAGTTTTCTTCTCTATGAATTTCTCTAATCCGCTTTAAAAGCCATCCAAGTTAGTGGTCGTCACTGCTTCCCGTGGGAACAAATCACATCATTTAACTATGTGCTGCGTGAAAAACTACTTCCTTTTGTCCATCGTGAATCTTCAGTGTTATGAGAGAGGGAGGAAAACTTTTCTCTAGCCACTTTCTCCATGCTGTGCATCATTTTATAAATTTCTATCATGTCTCCTCTTACTTGCCTCTTCTCTAAATGAAAAAGTCCCAAAAGCTGCAACCTTTCTTCATAGGGGAGTCTCTCCATCGCCATGATTTTGGTTGCCCTTTTCCAAACTTTTCCCCGCTGTATGAAATCCTTTTTGAGGAGGTGACCAGATCATGCACACAATATTTCAAATGTGGTTGCACCATAAATTTGTATAACAGCATAATGATATTGGCAGTTTTATTTTCAGTCCCTTTCCTAATGTTCCCCAGCATGGAATCTACCCTTTTCACAGCTGCCACACACTGGGTTGAGATCTTCACCAAGGTAACCATTATGCATCCCTTAATTGGGAGAACTGTTCATGTATTCCTACCCTCTGCTTCCCTAACCCTAAACCCGTAAATGTAGATATGAAATTAGGATTTTTTTGCCCCAATGTGCCTTACTTTACGCTTGCTTGCACTAAATTGCATTTGTCATTTTACCTCCCATTCACTCCCTTTTTGGAACTCTTTGCAATCCTTTAAGAAACGAACAAAAAACCCCAGACCCTGAACAATTTAGTATCATTAGCAAATTTGGCTACCTCGCTACTCACCCCTAACGTTACACCCCTCCATTAAGAGAACTGTTCATTTATTCCTGCTCTCTGCTTTCTGTCACAGGAGTACCTCTCCTTTTTATTCCACAACTGCTTTGACTTTGTCAAAAGCTTTCTGAATGTCCAACTCTGTGTCAGTTGGATTTCTTGTCTATATGCCTGTTAACACCCACAAAGAACTTTTAATAGGTTAGTGAGTCAGGATTTCCCCATGCAAAGTTGTTCTCAGAAAGCCAGGAGGTCATTGCACCTCACACACCTGTAACTTCTGCTCACTAGGCAGATTAGTACCATAGTAAACATAGGACGGTTAGTGTAAAACACTGGCAAACCCTCAAGCTGGCTTTCTGCCTGCATTCTAGCAATTTTGTAGTTTATTGAACTACAGTGGTACCTCAGGTTAAGTACTTAATTCGTTCCGGAGGTCCGTTCTTAACCTGAAACTGTTCTTAACCTGAAGCACCACTTTAGCTAATGGGGGCCTCCTGCTGCCACTGCGCTGCCGGAGCACGATTTCTGTTCTCATCCTGAAGCAAAGGTCTTAACCTGAAGCATTATTTCTGGGTTAGCGGAGTCTGTAACCTGAAGCGTATGTAACCTGAGGTACCACTGTACTTTATTAGAAGCTTAGGTTTTGCTTAGATCAAGGAGAGGAGGGGCAGAGTAGTGTGTCCACATTTGGCTGTTTCTCACACATTGCAGAGTTTCAGGATTTGGAATTCTAACAGCAAAACACACTTGCATGATTTTGTCACACTAGTACTTTTAATTCTTGGTTTGTTTGTGGGGAAATGCAGTTTGCCCTGCTTTAATTCTGAATTAATGAGCCCAAACAACATACAAATGCCTTTGGAAATCCTGACAGTGTGGACTTCAGCCCTGCAGTAATGGCTTATGGAGGCCACCCAACAGCCAGCCAGCCAGGCCAGTGTGTGTGTGTGTGTGTGTGTGTGTGTGTGTGTCCGTCCGTCCTCCTGCGGTTTATGCCTGGACGTCATGACTGGGCTCCTGTGTGCAGCATAGGAAGGTGATGGACCCTCAGTGTCAAGGGGAGAAGTGATGAAGGCCCAGAGCACCTCCCCTAAAACAGGGAGCTGTGTTGATTGGCCCTTGGGTAGGTCTGGGCTTTTGCTGGGACCCCAGCAACGTCTGATTGTGATGGTGAGAGACGAGTTTGGGGTTGCAGTTTCTGGGCCCAACTTTTTATTAACTGGCAAAGTTAATGGAGCGGCAATCCAGAGCAGGGAAGTGGAGGAAGCTATTTTTAGAGCTGCCTTTTTGTGCAACAAATCACAAGATAAACAGGCATTTTGTTCCCTTTTCTGTGTGCGCGCAAGGTATATAAACAGCAGATCCGTGACTGAATGAGTTGTAGAGCCAAGGTCACATCCCCAGGTTGTGGGTGGAGCCACTTGCCAACACCTGAGCGGTGGCAGCAGCAGCAGCAGTCAATATAATGAGGCAGCAGAAAGGGCTGGAGAAGTGCCAAAGCTCCACCACCGCTAGCCCCTTCTCTCGCCCCCACCCCAACTGCAGCAACTGCTCTTCATTCTTCTGCATCCTATACAGTACTGGGAGAATCCCAGATTGTGATGGACTGCAGACCAAGCTACCGCATCCTGGGAACGCTGACCCCTGCCGTTGTGGCAGATTGACACGGGGGGGGGGTGACAAGAAAGGGGCAATTTATGCCCCCTTCCTGTCATGCTTGCCATTGCCATTGCCATTGCACAAGACCGGTCATCCTGTGTCTTTCTCTAAAGGACAACCGTGTGTGCAAATTATAAAAGAAAAAAATTAAAAGCTGCTGTGCCAAATGACCCATATGGTGGACTGTGGAGTAAAAGGGTGGATATGTTGCTGCTGAAAATGCCTCATGCAAGGCAGTTCAATCCCTGGCAGTGTTTTGTGTCTCTGTGCTTGTTCTAGCATCTCCCAGCTACCTTCCTCCTCCCCTTTTTTCTGATCCAATGGTTGCTCTGTCCCCTCTGCCCCCCGCAACCTCACCACTGCCGCCTCTGCTGTAGCAGAGGTCACATCTACCCTATGCATTTAAAAGCACATGGTTTCCCTCATAGAATCCTGGGAACTGTAGTTTAAGGGTGCTGGGAATTGTAGCTCTGTGAAGGGTGAACTACAGTTCCCAGGACTCTTTTGGGAAACCAGGTGCTTTAAACGTATGGTGCGGTTGCAGCATTTTGAGTTTTCAGGCAGCATCTTCATGGCTTGCTGACATAACCTTTCAGTCGCAAATTCCTGCCTCCCTCAGTGCAGATTTATAGAATTAATTGTGCCTTTCCAAGCATCTCTGGGCAAAGATCCCGCTGCACCTCCACTGGAGCATCTTTACATTTGAACTCCCTCAAATTACAAAGAGCCTTGGAGGTCTTCCCTTTAGTGCAAAAGCCCTCAAAGTACGCACCAATGTGCTGCCAAAGCTCTGCTGAGTGGGGCTGTGACTCAGGTGCACCCATTAATCCAGCCTGGCAGTAACAAGGGCAGATTTGTCCCTCCCTCTTTCCTTGGAATCTGTCTCGGGAGGCATTTTACTTTGATAACGAGTTTTCCTGCTCTGCCAACCAGAGCCCAGCATCCCTCACCACCACCTTTAAACACTTAGTTCATGGCCCAAGCTCATGGCAACATTAGCCATCTTGGCAATATCTGCTAGTTGGGATAAAGCAGTTCTGATCTGATCTGATCCTCCAGGGGCTACAAAGTGCCTGCCAGTCCACTGCAAACACTTTCTGTGTTTGCACATTTCATTATTCATTGACAGGAGACGAGTCCATTTCATGTCTTTTAGCGTCACTCAGTTTATTCTTCCCTGATAGTTCAGCAGAACTTGACCCAGTATGAACCACAGTGCTAATTTTGGGAATCTTTGTTTGCCTCCAGTTTTCCATCCACTGCATGACCTTTCCTTGGTAATGGTGATTTTTTGGAATGTCAGTTTTCCATGCTGTTCACCCTATGGCTTAGGAACAGAAAGGCAACATAAAAATAAAAGGTAAAGGTACCCCTGCCCGTACGGGCCAGTCTTGCCAGACTCTAGGGTTGTGCGCCCATCTCACTCTATAGGCCGGGGGCCAGCGCTGTCCGGAGACACTTCCGGGTCACGTGGCCAGCGTGACAAGCTGCATCTGGCGAGCCAGAGCCGCACACGGAAACGCTGTTTACCTTCCCGCTAGTAAGCGGTCCCTATTTATCTACTTGCACCGAGGGTGCTTTCGAACTGCTAGGTTGGCAGGCGCTGGGACCGAGCAACGGGAGCGCACCCCGCCGCGGGGATTCGAACCGCCGACCTTTCGATCGGCAAGTCCTAGGCGCTGAGGCTTTAACCCACAGCGCCACCCGCGTCCCCTAACATAAAAAAAACATAAAAATAAGCAGCAGCAATTAATTAATTATTATTATTATTATTATTATTATTATTATTATTATTAGGTAAAAAGGTAAAGGACCTCTGGATGGTTAGGTCCAGTCAAAGGCAAGTATGGGGTTGTGGTGCTCATCTCGCTTTTCAGGCCAAGGGAGCTGGGGTTTGTCCACAAACAGCTTTCTGGGTCATGTGGCCAGCATGACTAAATGCTTCTGGTGCAATGGAACACCGTGACGGAAGCCAGAGCACATGGAAACACTGTTTACCTTCCCGCCGCACTGGTACTTCCTTGCACTGGTATGCTTTCGAACTGCTAGGTGGGACAGAGCAACAGGCGCTCACTCCATCGTGCAGACTCGAACTGCTGACCTTCCGATCGGCAAGCCCAAGAGGCTCAGTGGTTTAGTTCACAGCGCCAACCACTCCAATAATATTAATAATAGTAATACTGGTGGTAGTAGTAAAAAAACAGTGCAGAAGTGTGTCTGGATTGTGCCTATTTAATCTTCTTGTCATAACAATGCTTGGAGGTAGATCATCTTTATTATTTACGTGCAGCCCTGGAGAACTGAGGCTAGGAGGTGGTCCGTTGTCCACCCTTGCCCACTCTTTCTTTTGTCATTTTCCAGGATGTGACACTGGCTTTGGAAAGGTGGCTGCTCATCACTTAGACACCTTGGGACTGACCGTCTATGCTAGTGTCCTGGATCTGAAGAGTCCTGGCGCAGAGGAGCTTCGGCAGAGCTGCTCGTCGCGCCTGACCCTGCTGGAAATGGACCTGACCAAAGCTGAGGACATCCAGAGAGTCTTGCAGTTCATCAAGGCTCAGACAGTGAGGACAGGTAACTTGAGAGTGTTGGCAATCAGAACAGAAGCAAGGTAGGTGTAGGATTCTCAGAGTCTCACCTTTGGGATTTGAAACAAAACATTCTGGGTTTCAAGGCTGGAACATGAAAGCGGGTGGTAAGCATAAATCTCAGAATCAGATTAGATAGTTGAGTGAATTTCTGAAAAAATCTTCAGTTTGTAGGCTGTCTCATATTAAAATGTAACAATCAAACAAACAATCTCCACACTAGCAGTTCTAGGGTACAGTTATATAGGGTATTTACCTACAGTGGTGCCTCGCAAGACAAAATTAATTTGTTCCGCGAGTTTTTTCGTCTTGCGATTTTTTTCGTCTTGCGAAGCACGGTTTCAGGAAAGTTTTGGAAAAGCTTCAAAAATCACCAAAGTCTTCAAAAACCTCAAAAAAGGCTACCACACCGCGTGCTATGAGTTGCTCCTCGAAGTCAGGTCGCAACTGTATTAACGGTGTTAAGAAAAAGGAAACAAACTTGCAAGACGTTTCTGTCTTGCGAAGCAAGCCCATAGCGAAAATCGTCTTGCGAAGCAACTCAAAAACCCAAAAACCCTTTCGTCTTGCGAGTTTTTTGTCTTGCGAGGCATTCGTCTTGCGATGTACCACTGTATATGTTTTTGCAGGTGCAAAAACATTTTGAGAAAAGATGTCGGATGGTGGGGTTTTGCTTAATCCAGCAGCAGCAAAATGTCTTTGTTTGTCCACACACATGGAGGAGAAGCGGCCAGGGGAAGAGCAGCCATTTGCTAATTTATTTTTATATATACCACTGTATCATAAAAATAGGTCACAGTGGTTTACAACAATATAAAACCATGCAGCAGAACTGTAAAAATGGAAAGTAAAACAATTACATACACCAGCAAGCCAGTTTCCTTCTTGGCATGCAGGGCTCTGGGGCCTGGTGAACAACGCCGGCATCAACACCACCCTTGCGGATGCGGAGCTGACGCCTCTCCGCGACTTCCGCAGCTGCATGGAGGTGAACTTCTTTGGCACTTTGGAGCTGACCCAGGGGCTGCTGCCTTTGCTGCGCTCCTCACAAGGAAGGATCATCACCATCAGCAGTCCAGCAGGTAAAGGGAAGGAGAAAACCTTCCATAGGATCTGGTTTCACCAATGGGAAAGAGGGGGTGTGCCTTTGGGAGTTGGGCTGCCCTAGGAAGCCAGGCCCATTGGTCCATTGAGCTCAGGGCTGCCTGTATACTGACTGGCAGATTTCCACCGCTGGGGATTGAACTTGGGACATTCTGAGTGCAAAGCAGGTGCTCTACCAGTGACCTACAGCCCTTCCCTACTCTTTGACCCTCCTGCAGTCAAGATGGGGGTAGAGAGTAACCCCTCCCTCCTCTCCTTCTGCAGGTAACATGCCGTTTCCCTGTTTATCTGGCTACGGGGCATCCAAAGCTGCTCTCAGCCTGGTCATGGACACTCTGCAGTATGAACTTGCACCCTGGGGGATCCAAGTGAGCGTCATCCTCCCAGGGTATTTCAAAACGGGTAAGAGAATGACTGGGACCGCTGGCAGTGCACAGGGTGGGTGGGATAATGTGTCTTTTCCTTGTCTGCTGCTGAGGACTTGCTCTGTTTCGCAGGTTCCAAGGAAACTGAAATTATTGGGGGGGGGGTCCAGGCATAGCACAGCCTGGGTGTGGGGCTTCCCTTACTCTTTATGTGTGCAGTGAGGCTTCTAGAATACACCCAGCCAAGATTTCTTCCCCAGAGCTACCAAATCCAGGGAAAGAACCAAAGGAGTCTTTAGGGAAGGGAAACAGGAAGACAGAGCCAGGAGAGGCAGCTCCTCCGGCACCTTCATGAGTGTGGTGGAAGAGGTACTGAGTTTGGTGCCAGAGTGCAGGATCCATCAGTGGGAATTTTGCACACCACAAGGAGCTGCCAGTTCATTCTCTTACAGATACATTTGCACTTGGAGGATTGGCTTTGACCCCTCTCTCTGAAGCCCTTACTGACAACCACTTTGAGATACTTAATATAATAGTAAATAGTCTATAAGCAAACTAAAATAAAAGTAAAAGAACAAATAAATGTCCCATCTGCCTTGTTGCTGTAACTTGGAGAGGCCCCTCCTGGGCATCACTTGGGGCTAACTCTCTCTCTCTCCTCTCAATGCGTGATTCCTGCTTGTTGTGTCCCATCAACTGCTCCAACTGGCTCAATTTAACTGCTATTATTCATTTCATTCACAAGATCCAAATGGGAGGAGCAAGGAAACATGAGGAAATGCTGTCTTGTTGCTTGGCTCATGCTGTGGCTTTGGAAATTGTTCCAAACACTGCCCTTATTTTTTCAAGTTTCACTTCAGTCATAAGGACTAGAAACATGCCTTAAGTGGAAGCTGAGATTCTGGGGAGGCCAAATTTTGCACTAGATACCAAACTCCAGGATGAAGGAATTGTATAAGCTACATGGGCTACACCCAGCATGGCCTCCTCACCACCTACCAAATAGGTTCTAAGAAATCTCTTACTCCCCCCCACCTGTCTATTCTTTGCAGATGGTTCTTGTAATCATGCTTATTGGAAAGAAAGGAAGGCTCAGCTGCTGGCAGCTCTATCCCCTGAACTCCTGGAAGCCTATGGAGAAGAATACCTGGAAGACATCAACAGGCAGTTTCTTGCTTCCATGAAGTTTGCTGTGGAGGACCTCAGCTCAGTCGTGGAGAGCATCGTGGACGGCCTCCTGTCTACCAGGCCTCTGGTGAAATACTACCCGGGGAGAGGCCTGGGCCCCATGTACTTCATCCACCACTACCTGCCCCACACCGTCCGCAACCTCTTCCTCAAAGCCTTCTTCATCAACCCAAAGTTGCCCAGAGGGCGCCAGCCAAAGCCTTGCAACAGCCCCCGGAAACAGTGAAGGGCAGCTTGGCAGAGAAAGCACCTGGGAAAGACTTCAGGGCCCAGAGTAGCTGCTTAAGGTGTTTCTACTGAAAATGCACCAGCTCATTTGTGTCAGTGCAGGGAGAGGACAAGCTGCGGCCATTGCTGCTACCCAGCCATTAATGCCTTTTTCCTAAGTGAGCATTAAAATTATAGGAAGATGGTGGGATAGGGACCCATTCGCTTCAATGAACAGAGTGCTGGAAAAGCCCTACTGAGACCAATGATTGTTGCATTTGGGGAAGGGGGGAGTTACCAGTGGCAAGTGAACCCCTCTCCCCCAATTCCTGGCTGGCTTTTCTCTCCCTCTTTGTGCCAAAGGAGATGGCTGCTGCTGCTGCTGCTAACTGATAGTGAAAGGGCTTCACTATACCTCAGCTTTGTGATATACCTCTCTGTAAACTTCAGCTGAGCCAATGCCATGTCTCCTCACTGTACTGTGTCTTCTTCACTGCAAATAGCCAAAGGCCTTTCCAGCTTCTCAGTCTGTATGTAGCACCCCCACCCCACCCTCGGCACAAGCATGGCAATATTCATTAACAATAGTCACCACAGCAATCATGATCAAAATCAAAGTATTATAATTAAGAATCTATATCAGCCATAATTGGTACCTATTTGAATCACTCAGTTCAATCAATAAAGTATTTTTTGATATTAAAAAATGCACACCTAGTTTCTTAGCAGCTCTGGAAACAGTAGCCACAGAGTAAATAATACAAAACTGATTATCAATTAATAGCTTAATTTTATCCAAAATTAATAGCTTGTGTTTTATCCAAATACCGAGGCAGCATATGTTAACAAGGTTTTACTCCCTTGGATCCACATATAATGGGCAAAAAATAATGAGTTGTAATTTTAGATTGCCTGCATCCAAAAAAACCCCACCCCAGTTTTCATTTCATTTCATTCATTTCATTTATTCTGCTCCACAGTCTCAGGTGTAAAGCAGATCAGTTCACATACACACACACACACACACACACACACACACACACACACACAGAGTGGTACCTCGGAAGTCAAATGGAGTCCATTCCAGAAGTCCATTTGAATTCCAAAATGTTCGAAAACCAAGGTTTGGCTTCCGATTGGCTGAAGGAAGCTCCTGCAGCCAATTGGAAGCTGTGTTGGACATTCGGGTTCCAAAGAACGTTCGCAAACCAGAACATTCACTTCTGGGTTTGCGGCGTTTGGGAGCCAAAACGTTCAAGTCGCAAGGTGTTTGTCAACCAAGGTACGACTGTATCCCAAGATTTCCAAGTCTGATTTTACTCTACAGAATTTTAGCCCTACAGAATAATAGGCTAATAAGTCTCTACAGAGGGCAACTTCCAGGCACTTAGAAGGCCCACCAGCTGACCTCCTTTGCAACCAAAGAATTTTAGGAGCTGACAATTTGTCATAGTAACTTATATTTTAATAGCTGCTAGTTCGCATTTCCAAGAACTTTTGTCAATACCTCTATGGATTGGGCCATTTATATTTCTGGGATCTGTGACCAAAAACTAATCTTAAAGGTGAACAATTAATGCCTAACTGCTCCATCCTAAAAAAGAACCAAATATAAGCAACATTAAAGCACAGCTTGTTTAAGGAGAATAATTCAAGGTTGTTTGGTCTAGAGCAAGATGAACACCTTTCATTCCACCAACGCAGGGAGGAAAAAAGAGGTGGCATGCCTGCAGCAATGTTGCTTACATAAAAATAAAAATTGGGCCAACTTGAAACCCTGTTTTACTGTGTCTGTATAAGGGTTCAGGCCGAACCCCATTTACCTGAGAGTAAGCCCCACTGAATTCAATAGGCCTTACTTCTGAGTAGACATGACTAGGATTGCCACCTTACTTGTGTCAAGATCCCATAATGGCCAGCCCTTACTTTTGTTGTAATATTACAGTGTAATAATAGCTGCATATGAGCCAAAGAAATATTTTGCTAATATTAGCTGTAGCCAAATTGCACCATAGCCAGATCGAAGGTGAAGGTAAAACCTATGAAGGATGAAAATAACTGCTTATTTGGACCCTTGAGATAATGGGAGATTAAATGGTGTAATTTGTAGCCTGGTAAGGGTTCAAAGTATGTAGAACAGCATGTATGTACAAAGGGGCTTCTCTACATGTGTTCAACTGAAGGGGCTTGGAGCCTCTGCTCAGCTGGGGGCCATGTGAGAAGGCTGAAGGGGCCTGTGGCTGGAACTGCTTGCAGCAGCATCCAAGTATTCATCAGTAGTCACTGGTGTCTGCTCATTTGGAGCATCAACCTTAAACGTTTGGGGACAAGAGGGGGAATCACCCAATTTCACAAACATGTTGCGTATTTGTGCAAATGAATGCAACACATTATAGAACGCTGCTTGTGTGGATCTTGTTAGTACCTCTCATTCCTGCGGCTGACCTCAAGGATGCTGGGTGTTTTCTTTTCTTGCTGCTGCAGCAAACCTGCTGTTCTTCTGTCCTCCAAGCCTCATCGCCATGCAGGAACTGAGCCAAAAAAGGCCTCCCCAAAGGGGGCCTCTCCTTGCCTCCAGAAGAGGGCAGGGACTCCCAGGCAGATGGCCTACAAATCTTGTCACAAAGAACAAGGTCACGATTGTCACTTGGAAATAAATTAAAATGGTTACTTCATACTTTGCTTGTGTATCTTGATGTCCTGAGGGAAACTCAGTGAGTTGGGTCATGTCAGAGAAAGTGCTTCGTTCCAGATGGTGGCAGAGGCAGACAGTGCACATCCAGGCAGAAAACCCTGTCTCAGCTCAGGGGGGACATGCTGCTGGCAACCTTACATAGGTCCTGGGGCTGGAGCCAAGTGGCCAAGCCAGATCCACCACCACCCCGGGGTTCCCTACCCCCTAGTCACACTCAGCCTATCCTTCACACAGCTGCTATGAAACTTTTCTGGATCTCCTAAGAGGAAGGCACATGAAGAGATAAATAAATATGTAACAAAACAAGCAGCTTCTTAACACACACAGGACAGCAGGAAGCATCCACCCAGCCCTTCTGCATGTTCTGACACTCCCTTCAGCCTTAGCCAGTGATGAAGACTTGGGTAATGCCACTTGCAGTCCCAAGACCTGGAGGGCTGCTGCTTCCTCAGCCTCACTTTAATGTGGAGACACCACAGAACACATCACTTGTATTCTGCATTTGTATGGTGGGAGGCAGGCAGAAAGTAAAGTCAGCTGGCCCTCATGAGGTGTAAAGCAGCGGCTGCCTTGCTTCCCACCAGCAGAGGTTCTATTCTCCTGTCCCCTGACCCACCAAAGAACCCCTGAGCATTGTGGGGGATTTTGCAGCATGTTTCCATGTGTCTGACCTCTGCTCCTCACAGCAATTCTGTGGATGTTTCGAGGCTTCTGATCCATCTGAAAAGTCCTGGGGCAGGGAGCACAACCACATCTCCCTGCTAGAAATTGCCAAGCATCTCAGACCCTGTCCGGGAAGGGGCTGCTTCTCAGAGGGCCAAGACAAACCAGCGGAGCACTGCAATCATTTGGGGAAATAATTTATTGTCACAGTTTAACAGAAAGGTAATGAACAGCAAGTGAAACTCTTGAGGGGTCATATACCATGGAGCCAAGGTGACTCATTTGGAAGGAGAATTGAGACAGCCTCTTTCCATCCACACCAGCCAGAGAAAAGCCTCCCCACCCAGCAGCCACTTACTTTGCACATACAAAGGAACTGAGAGACAGCCCCCCATGAAAAGAGGCACAGCCCAGGAACACCTTCCCAAAGTGCTTGCAAGCAAAGAGGCTGGAGCCTGCTGGCTGCATGGGAAGGGCCGGGGGCTGGCAGGCTGGGTGAAGGAAGGACAGCTTTTCTGCAGTGAAAGGGCTGGGACCTGAGACCAGTGCAACTCACAGCAAAAGGCCCATACCCAGAAGAGGGGCAGGGGAAGACCCACCACAGAACCTGGGCTAGGGGAGCTCCCAGCTGAGGCCAAGTGGTTGCTGCTCTTTAGGAGTCCTGGTCATTCTTCCAAGTGCGGGTGAGGAGGAGCCTTGCTTGCAAAACACCTCCAGGGAACTGGCTGGCCAAGCAAACTGCTCTGCCACTCGCAGAGAGGCATGTGCAGCCACAGATCTCGCTGCTTTGCCTAGTAAGTGGGCAGGATGCTCCAAAGCCAGCACCACAGGGAAGGAGGCTGTGCCAAATCCAGGGGACTGTCTCGGAAGCGGAAGTTCCACAAACATGCTTTAAACCCACTGAGTGGTTGTGGCTTCCTATGAAGAGCTGCTGCAATGGCAGAGCTCCAAGGACTCCCCCAGCCCTGTGCCCTTTGCAGAGCTGGACTTCCCAAGACTTTCAGAGAGAAGAGCCAGGAGAGTAGAGTCGGCTGAAGGATGCAGTACAACGAAGCCTCAAGTTGTGCAAAGACAAGCAGATGCTCACAGTCAACACAACACAAACACATCTCTTCACTGCTCGCATGACATTGTGCTGGCCGACCAAAGTGTTGCATGAGGGCACAGCGTTCCTGCTGACCCTCAGAAACACCCAGAATCCCTCCTGTGGAGGACAGTAAACTTCTAGTAATACTGAATGATCTAGTCTGATCTACACAAAACACATACAGTGACACGTTAATGAGGAAGGAGGCAGGCCCCCCCCCATGGCCCAGCAAGACCACAAAGGCTCCTCCCGGTGGTCTCTCAGAAAGCTACATCCAGGTCTGAAACTTGGGGGAAGGGAGGCGAGGAACCTGTGGACTTGGCCGGGCAGGAGAGAAGGGTTTAGAAGATGGGGATGTAATTGTCTATCTTTGCCCGGTGGCGCTGGGCGATGCACTCCGCAATCCAGACGATGTTGCGGCACTCTTGCTCCTTCAGCTTCACAAAAGCATAGAAGACACCAAAGTGGAACTGGTTCAGGAAAGCCAGCTTGTTCAGCTTCACCTGTTGGAAGAAGATACCAGGTGAGCAAACACAGACCTGCCAGCCGCTCTTTCCGTGCAAGCATTTCACAGCAACACCCAGCCAGCTAGGAGGAAAGTCACACCACTCTCCCCTCTGGCTTGCGTGTGGAGAAAGGGGCCCACAGACAGGATCCACGCTGGCCCCAGGAACCTGCTCTGTGTCTCTGCAAGGGGAAATTAGCTAGTGAGAAGAATACAGAGTACAGAACACCCCTGGACACATTCACACCAGCTTAGTCTGATGGGCTAACAGAAGCCTCTCCTAGACATATGAGTGCTTGGCCACTGTCATCTGTGCTGCATGCTGGTTCATGCCTTGCCCAGTACAACCCTCAGTGCTTGGGGCTGCTTTAAAGGACAATTGGGAAACTGCAGTTGGTGAAAGTAGGGCAGCAAAATTATGATCCTGGGACTGGGAGATGCATCATCTTTGCCAGCTATGCTGGTTCCCAGGCACAATTTCAAGGGCTGGTTTTGACCTCAAAAGCTCTCAGTGGATGAGGACCAGAGGAAGTCAGCAGCAAAGCCAGAGGGCTGTGGCTCCTGCACAGAGTGCTCAGGCTTCTGTGCTCCTTGTCAGCCCCACAGCCATTCATGCTTGTCTGATCTCAGCAAGTAAAGACAGAATAAATGCCTCCTTGGCATAACACTGCCTTACCCACCAGACCTGTGGCATTCAGATAAGGCAGGGACCAGGCCCAGCAATCTCAGAGTGGCCTAGCCCTGGATGGTATTGGTAGCGGCTGTTTCCTTCCACATTCTGACTCAGGTTGGTGGGGGGAGAGGTGCTCCCTGGTGTCAGCTTCCTCTTGGCTGCCAAGGACAGCGCTAGCAGCTGCAAAGTAGCTGGCTGGTTTGGGACAAATGCATACAAGGCAGAAATAAATGCAACAGTGGATGTGTTGGGGAAGCTTTCAAGAGAGAAGAGACTCTTTGCTGGCCTCACGCTGGGGAAGTGAATCATCAGGGCAGAGAGTCTCCAAACGCCCTGCCCACCGTGTTCACGGGGCTAGTCGAGCTTGTAGGGCAATCAAGGCACCTGATAAGCAAGGGAAGCCTGCTCACCTCATGCTCAAAGAATCGGTCCTCGAGAGTCTTGTCCCCTGGGTTGCTACCAGCTCCTTCAAACAGCAGCTTATATTCCTGTGGGGGAGAAAAGCTGTTACAAGACGAGTCAAGCAAGGGATCAGCCTTTCGACAAGCATGAAATGAAACAAGCTCAGAATGCCATCACTGCTCCCTACTGGGGCCAGAGAAGAAAGCTGAAAGGAGGGTGGATCCTGGGGTGGGGTGTGTGACTTTAAAAAGCACAAGAAGTATCAAGGCAGCAACACCACCATGCATGAAGTGGCTGCAGGAAAAGGGAAAGAAGAGCCCTGCAGCTAAAGAGAGGGGGAGGGATAGAGAGGGAGGGAGGGAGGGACACACCAGAGCTTGGGGGGGGGAGGTTACACTGAAAAGCATTTGAAAAATTAGCAAGTTTTGAAGGTCAAGTTCATTAGAAGTTGACACAAATATGGAGCTTTGATGGGGGGAGGTGTTGCTCCTCCATCAGTAGTGAAGGTTAAAGCACTAGGCTTGCTGGGGGGGGCGGGGGGAGGAGATGCAAACTCCCCAGAGACACGATGCTGCAGCTTGAAAGCTAGGAAAGTGCAGTAATAATGACAAAATAAAGTGGACTTTTCAGACTCACCACCCCTGGCAGAGAGCAGCCCCTGGGAAGGTCATGCTATAAGCTGCTCTGGTCTACCCTTTCATGGGATACAAGGAAGGAGGAATGTGACAAAAATGTGGAGAGTGACACAAGGAGGGAGATTTATCCCCATTTTCAAAGCTCCGAAACGTTCTGGGTTAAGAGCCTGATCACTGAAGCCACAGCCTGCTGCTGACAGCTAGGTACCCTTTGCCTATGGGTGAGGACTGAGCAACCACGTGATCGCCCCAGAAACAAAACATGCCCGCCCACCCCCAAATACTACACTGTACATTGTCCTCCTCCTCCCCTGCTCCGGGCCCAGCTCAGAGGCAGGAAGCTTACAGGGTAGTAGTCAGCCACTGCCTTGACTTGCTCGTAGTCATCTGCCCTGGCCAGCTGAGCCAGACCCTCTGGATAGAGCTTTCCACAATGGGGGAAGAGCTTTGCGCGATCCTCCTTGGACAGCTCTGTGCCAAAGGAGTTGATGGTGATGATGAAGGCTCTTCGGTCAGCTTCAAACTGCAAGGAAAGAGACGGGCAGGTTAGCAGTGTTAGAAAGGGCGGCAGGAGCCCAGCACCAGCACTGCCCCCCCCCAAAGCGGGCGGCAGAGGCCAGCAAGACCTCCAGGGCTCCCAGCAAGGCTGCATCCCCTCCTACCAACATTTTGTCTGCAGGAAACAAGGGGCCAGTTTCTATTCAAGGAAAACGTAAGAGTGCGATCTGACCAGCTTCTTTAAAAGTTTCTAATGTATCCTAAAGGGGGGGGGCGGCAGCCATTTATTTGAAGGAAAGAAGCAAGGGATGGTGAGAGGAGGAAGAGTTCAACTCAAATATATCCCTGCTGTGGCCACATTAAGAGCCCTGGCAGCTTCCAGAAAAGGCTTCAGTTGCAACTTTGGCAGACCCCTCCCAAAAGGGACAGCACAGCCTTTTGAAAGCACTGAAGTGGGAATTCTTGGCTGGGCTGTGGCAGAAGGCAGGAGAGACAGGCAATGCTCACTCCAGGGGCAGCGGGAGTGTCTCTGCTGGCTGGCCCCACACAAAACTAGGCAAGGGGGCTGCCAGCTGGCTCCTACCTCCAAGATGGGGCACATGGCATCAGCTGTTGTGCCGCCCAGGATTTTGCAGAACTTGTAGAAGGACTCAAGGTAAGCCTGGGGGGAACCAAAGTGACACAAGAAGAGTCAGTGAGCCTGTCAGAGCCCAAGAAGAACACAGTCACGTCAACAAGGAGGAACAAGGGCTGCTCTGCACACAGGAGGTACTACATGGTGAAGGTGCAACCAAGGAGAGGGACAGCTCCTTGGCCTCTGCCCTACCCCTGCTGTTTCATCAGTGTTTTTGAAGGAGAAATGCTGTAGGGACCGGAATACAGAGCATCTTCCACCCAACCCAAGAGTTCATCCAGTGCAAAGACAAAATGGAGAAGCCTCAGCAGCTGCTGCCTAACTTAAGTTACCCCAGTGCCTCCCTTACTTGCTCCTTTTGTTGTTGTTGTTGTGCGAACCTCAGACAGCATCTTGGGGGGATTCACTGCCCATCCTTGTGTCAATGCATGACAGCCAGGACTCTCTGCTGTCTGTAAGGTCCCAAGCAGGAGCCCAGCAGTCCACACAGCCCCTTTGCTTGCTTGGATAGCAGCTCTCTGCAAACATCCTTTTCCTCACCTGCCCTTTAACACTCTGGGTGTCTCATGTAATCCTTGGCTCTCCCCCTGCAGACATGGATCTACCTGTAGCTAGTTAGGACCAGTGGGATCTAGGAGGGCAGCTGCAATCCAGGCACCCTCTGTTGCCAGGCATGTGAGATGGAGCGATAGTCACGCAACCACAGCAGCATCACTGCCCCCCCCCCCGCAACATTTACACACCAAGAACAAACCTTCTGACAGCGGAGCAGACTGATCCACCTCAAACCAGCCGGTGCCAGCCGGAAGAGCTGTGGCAGGCAGGCTGCTCACAGCCCAGCAGGGACACGCCCTGAGGTTAGGTGCCAACCATTCCCCTCCACCCCACCTGGCTCCAGCCAACCGTTTTAGTGATTGTGTCAGGGCAGTGACAGTGCTGTACTAAAATCCTACAGGAAGGATAATCACGAATTCAGAAACAGCTTGGCATGCACCAAAGCTCAGTGACTCATTAACTTGGGGGGCTTGGAGACCCCCCCCCACCAAGTCCTGCTAGGCAGAAGGAAGCACTGAGAGGGAGGGGCCTTGGGTGGGACAAACAGACCTTTCTGTCAGCAAGGGCAGCTGCAAGTGGCTCTTGGCTCAGCAGCAACAGCCAATCGGCCTGGCATTTATTTATTAATTACCATACTCATAGTTTGCCCTTCATCTGAAAATCTCATGGCAAAAACACATAGAATTAAAACCAAAGTCGTCATCCCCTGAATATAATTATCAATAACCTTAGATATAATAGAATTAAAACCAAACAGCAATATTCAATTGCATGCATGGAAAGCATCTGAAGCAAGAAAACTCCAAAAATGCATTTAATGGCCTCAGACAATCAGCATCAATTTACAAGGTTCTTATTTGAGGAAAGTAGCAACTGGCTTCAGTCTCTTTGAGTGCTTACCTTATAAAGTGTGTTCCGGATAATTTCAATGTTCATTTCATCAAGGTCCTGCTCAGATATGCAGTCTTGGAAAAAGGCAGCTGTAAGGAAGGGAGAAGGGTGAGCCCAGCTGAAGGGCCAAGGAAGGAGAGCTACCTCCCACCCAGACTCCCTGGCCAGCAGAGTTTCAAGTTCTGTGTGGTCAAGGCAAATCAGGAGGAGATCCTCCTCCTCTTCCACTGGCCCTCAAAGGTAAGGAGTCAGTGATTTTCACATTGAGCTTTCAAGTCAGTCAGTCAAAGAGCCCAGAAGGATTTCCTGCAGTTACCAAACTGTAGACAATGGCTCATATTGTGTGTTAAAACACCACTAGAGGAACCCTTCATGTCAAGAACCCCCAATAATTTTGGGTCTCTCTTTAAATACACTCCCCTGCGGAAGAGCAAAGCCCCTGAAACCGCAAACTCTTCCTCACCTAGGGGTGTGTCGACCAAAATGGCGTTGTACAGTTCGGCGGGGGTTTGGGCAATGTTCACTGCCTCCATCTGCTCAAAACTCCCCAGGGGGTGGCATTTGGGCACCAGCTCAGCAATGGAGCGTTGATGCAGTGTCCCAGTGATCAGGAGGATTACGTTGTCAATCATGTAGCTGTACCTGAAAGGAAGTAAAAAAGACAACTGCTATGACCAGCCAAGTGGGGAATATGAACTCTTTGCCTTCACTGAAGTAGACTTCACTGAGGCTTCATGGCTAGAGGTGGGGTGGGGGGCAAAACGGCAGACTGAAGACACGGGTATTGCAAAAGAGGGCTGCCTGCACCTGTTTAATTCCTTTTCATCTGCAAATTCAAGAGCAGTTTACAAGCGATTTCACATACACTATTGGTCCAATAATGAAATCAGGTATTGCAAATCCTATTATCAGAGTTGGAAAGGAACCTCAGAGGCCACTTCATCAGAACCCTTCACTGGTGGCCATCCAGGCTCTGCCAAAAAGCCTCTAAGGAAACGGAGCCCGTGCCCTTCTGTCCCAGGCTGCCTCTCCCCCCCCCTGCCAAAACAGCTGTTTAGCCAAAATTTTCTTTCATGCCACTGTTCCGTTTGGCCCCAGCTGCTGCAGCAACAGACGTCAGACCTACTCCATCATCCATATGGCATCTCTCTAAAATATTTGAAGGTGGCTGTTGTGCCACGTCTTCTCTGGACTAAACATACACGAATCTGCCAGTCTTTCTTCCTCATAGGACTTCCTACAAGTTCCTCTCCATCTTTGTCACCCTTCACGAGTTTGTTGCTCTCCTTCTAAAAAGGCAGCACCTAAGAGGGAAAGTGGTCCAGGTTGGTGGGGGGGGGGTGTCTAGCTGAAGGAGAATGGAGGAGAGTGGTTCTAGGACTCCTAGGCTTTGTTGCTATATATATATAAAATGATTTTCAGTTTTATACATTTCAATAATTTTGCAGTCATTTTAACATTTCAGAACTTGACTCCCTTCCCCCACTTTCTGTGGTTCCTTAAATTTATTTTTAATATTTTATGCATATCTAAATTATCTTAATTTGTTCATTTATTCATCTACTTTAAATATATACAGTGGTACCTCTAGTTACGAACTTAATTTGTTCTGGAGGTCCGTTCTTAACCTGAAACTGTTCTTAACTAGAGGCGTGCTTTCGCTAATGGGGCCTCTTGCTGCTGCTGCGCCACCAGCACACAATTTCTGTTCTCATCCTGGGGCAAAGTTCTCAACTTGAGGTAACTCTTCAAGGTTATCAGAGTTTATAACCTGAAGCCTTTGTAACCTGAGGCATTTGTAACTCAAGGTACCACTGTACCTTGTAAAACTGCAGGTTATTACAATAATCCTGCCGATGTTTTTATCTGTTTACAGTTTTTTTTGTAGTAAATAGCCTTTGTCACTTTCTTCCTGCTGCGTTGCTCTGCCAGCTCATGCTTGGTTTGTGGTGTACTAAAACCCCGAGATCCTTCTGGCAAACGCAAATCAGACAAAGAGGCCGCAATTCATTAGGACACAAGCCTGAAGCTCTTCAAGTAGATTTAAGTGGCCCTCGGGTCTGGCACTAATAAAGCTCAGCGAGGCCTGCCTACAGCACACAGAGCAGAGCACGCCCCAACAGGAACATCAAAGTGTTTCTCAAAGCAGGGCCACTGCAGCCACATAGCCCATCGCCTTACAAATGCCTCCAGCACAAACGAAGCAGGCCTGCTGCTGAACGATGGCGTGGAGTCAGCTGACCAAAGCAGAACAATCAAAGGCAGCAAGGAAAGCAAACTGAGGCAGCTGCTCCTTCCCCTTGGATCACTGAGAACAAGGGATGATAAGAGGGAAGCTGGGAAATCGTCCCAGCCCACAAGTCAAAACACCCTGGCCAGATTCAGGAAGTGGTTTCTATCCTGCAGGTACACTTAATTCCTTCTCCTTCCTTGCAACATGCCTCAAACAACCCTTTCAGCAAAACTGCCAGGAGCTTGGGAGTGCTGGGAGGTGGCCGGCAGCCAGTTTGCATTGAGGAGAAGAACCAATAGTTGCAGGGAGGTGTTCCCTTTTGCACAGTGTTGTGCAACATGGCCAGCTGCCCAGGTGGCAGGAGCCAGCAGTGCTTCCACTGGTAAGAGAGCATGGCAAGGCTCAGCCACAGCCAACACAGAAAGCCCCATAGAGAGGCTCTGACTAGCTTTGCACCATGAGCAAAACATGGAGCAGCTTGCAGGTTACTCTTGGAGGCAGGAGCCCTTTGATTGCCAACCCAGCCGAAGGACGTGCATCTTTTCCCACAAGATATGGTGTGTTTGCCACCAACATGGACAGCTTTAAAATTGGGTGAGCCTCATCCTCTGTGAATGGTTACTAGCCAAGGTGTCTGTGCTCTATCGCAAGGCGAGAAAGTGTTGCTGATGCACTCGCATCCTACTTGCAGGCTTTCCCTTGGGACTTCTGGCTGGCCACTGTGAGAGCAGGAGGCTGAACTAGATAGCCACCCTTTGGCTTGATCTAGCTTCAGCGCTCTTGTTCATAGATATAGTCCTTCCCTATGCAAAATGAATTCCTTGCATGGAAATTCAGTAAAATGAACCCCCCTTGCAAGCTGAAGTGGTGCAGTCCAAACGCAGTCCCTGATCCCCTATTTAAGAGAGACGGAGGAGCAGAAGCGCAGAATCTTCCCTCCATCTATTAGGCTCCATGAGAATCTTTTCCCCTTGCTTTTTATTTCTAAGCAGTGAAGTCTTCATGGTTGGAAATGTCTGCTGCAGCAAAGAGGGGCAGGCAGAGCACCGTGTGCCCAAAAGGGGTGCTGCTGCTACAATGTTTTAAAAAGCCTCCACTCCTATACCTACTACGGCTGCCTGCAGAAAACTGCCCTGCCACTGCCAAAGGGGAGGAGGAGGTGGCAGTATCCCACAGCAGCCTTTGTTGCAGGCACAGAGATGCCACACCGCTGGCTTAGATGTCACCTGGTACAGCGGTGCAGGGACGCGGGTGGTGCTGTGGGTAAAAGCCTCAGCGCCTAGGGCTTGCCGATCGAAAGGTCAGCGGTTTGAATCCCCACGGCAGGGTGCGCTCCCGCTGCTCGGTCCCAGCGCCTGCCAACCTAGCAGTTCGAAAGCACTCCCGGGTGCAAGTAGATAAATAGGGACCGCTTACTAGCAGGAAGGTAAACGGCGTTTCCGTGTGCGGCTCTGGCTGCCAGAGCAGCGATGTCACGCTGGCCACGTGACCCGGAAGTGTCTCCGGACAGCGCTGGCCCCCGGCCTCTTGAGTGAGATGGGCGCACAACCCTAGAGTCTGTCAAGACTGGCCCGTACGGGCAGGGTACCTTTACCTTTTACAGCGGTGCAGGAGATACTCTGCTGCTGAATGCTGTAAACTTGAACCATTTTATAGGGTGTGTTGACTTTTTCAACTTTCAAATTCTAAAAATGAGTGGTGCTAAAAAGTTGTAACATGACTTGGGAGTTCAAAATATATTTTGGCTAAATTAATATAATTTAGTTTTGTTTGGGAAGCAGAATGTGTATACAATTGCACAGAAATCACCAAAAAATGATTGCCAAGTACTTGCAGTTATATTACATATTAATATTAACATTAATATTTGTTATTATTTAGCATTACCTGAAGGTAAAATTAAAATACTTTGGTTTTCCAAAAGCAGTTAATGTGCTTCTTCATCAAAAGTAGACTTACCAGGCTAAATGTTGTCCAATCAGAAAAATAGCAGATTGGAATTCCTCAAGCTGCAAAGCATGTTTTTCACTGAAGAAATTAAGTTTGACCGCCTGAAATGACATGCCCTGCTGGGCCAAAGAGCCCCACCCAGAGGACAGACCAAGGTCTTTGGCAGAGGCACACTGGCCTCTCTCTAGTCAAGATCAACAGAGACGGGGCGGGGGGGGGGGGGACTACTTCAGCATGGGAGGCTTGCATGTTCTCCATCTCCTCAGGAAGCCATAAAAAAACTTTTATCTGAGTGACATTTGTTTTACTAGGTCTTTCAAGGCAAAGCCACCATAAAAAAGGATTCCAAACAAGGCACCATCTCCTAGGAGCAAGCTCTTATAATCCCTGCTGGTAATTAAAAAACTGGATGGATCAAGACTGCACCAGAAGCACTCAAGAGTCAGAGCACTCAGCCAAATCCTGCAGCGGAAGCCAACAAGCAGACCATGTTCTGAAGCCAGAGTGCACAATCACTCACACCAAGAGGCCCAGGAAAGGATCTCCGCTTCTTTGCCACGCCCAAGGCAGGAGCGAGAGCATCAGGACCAGACTTCTAGACAGAACAGGCAATGTTTCCAAGCTTCCGCAAAGATGAGCTCCAGTTTTCTTCAGAGATGCTGAGACCAGGCTCAGGTTTAGGGTTTTTTTTTTGGTCTAGCCTTAAGAGCAGACACTGGATCTTCTCACATTTCCAGCCTTGAACTATCCACCTGTAAAACTTTTTAAAGCAGTGGCTCCCAAATGTTTATCCACCAAGGACCACTTGAAAATTGCTGTGGGTCTTGGCAAACTATGCAATGATTCTTCCGCCTGCCTGGTTTTTAATTGTATTTTTATTGCTTCTTATGTTGTACTTTGCTGTATTCTACTTTTAATTCCATAAACCTCCAACGGCAAGTGAACCTCACTGGTAGGCCACAGACCACAGTTCGCAAATACCTCAGAACAAGAATTTCCCAAAATCAAGATCCAAGGAGGAGCAGAAGAAAGGCAAGTTCCCTCAAATTCTCTATCCCTTTCCCTGCCTAAGTTGTATATTTCACCCAGTCATCTTCTTCTTTCTCTCTGCCTACCCTGAAGAGCCTTTGGCCAATTCAGCAAGCTCTTTCTGGGCACTTGCGCAGGCAGACTGGACTCCTTAGAAAACAAAGCCACCAGGGCCACTTGCCAGCTGGCTCTTTTGATTCTGCTACATGTGGCTCTTGGTATGCTTCAATACCCTTTTCAATATTTCAGCAGCTAAGCTGCCTCCACAAAGCCACCTAGGTGATGAAAGAGCTTCTTTCTCCTCCATCTATGGAGGATGCATTATAGGCCCCTTTCCCTCCCTCCGCAGGCATCTGTCATTGGTCAAAACATCTCTTTTGGATCATGGCTCATTAAGAAGCCCAACAAGGTGTGAGATATTAATCACATATGCTAACCAGGCTCACAGAACAGCAAGTAGAAAGCAATGATCCAGTCAGTCCCTCAGAAGGAAAACCAGCTGTCAAAGACCCTCTTCCACCTTGAAGTAGCTTCCCTACTTTAATGTGGAAACCAAAATCTAAAGTGAAGCTAAAGGGTTGCTGCATTATTATTATTATTATTATTATTATTATTATTATTAACCTGACCTTCACCATGAAGTCCAGGAGCAGTTACAACAATACAAAAATATGGTATTAAAATCAGTTAAAATAATTCACTATCAGAATAATATGGTGGATGCTAAGAAACAGGTCAGGTTTCAAAGGCCAGGGTAAGGAGGTGTTTCTTCAGCATATGAGGAAAGGTAAGCAATGAAGGTGCCACACACCTGGGGGGGGGGATTGCACACCTTAAGGACTGAAACAGAGAAGGTCCCCATTGAGGTCACCACTCCTTGAACTTCCAAGGGCAGGAGAACTATCAGAAGGCATCCTCTGCCAATCATAGCAACCAAGAGTTTCAATTAGCAATAACTGCACCTTGGATTAACCTCATTGGCTACGAGGGAAAGAGACAGCCCCTCAGGTATTAGGGGCCTTAGTTGCTTAGGGCTTTAAATACTCTCATGGGCACTCTGAATTGGACCAGGAATAAACTAGCAACCAATGCAGCTGTTTTAAATGAGGGGTGATGTGAATTGCAAACAGAACTCCAATCATTAATCTGGTTGCTGTGTTCTGGACCTGTTGAGCCATCTTCAAAGGCAACCCCAGTTAGAGTACACAGCAATAATCTAGCCTCAGTTCCCAGAGCATGGACTACACTGTCCGGGATCACTGCTCATAAAACATTTTTTAAGCCAAGCTGGTCGGGTCAGATTGCTTGGCAGGAGAGACCACAGAAGTCACACAGATGTAGGGACAGACACTACAGCTTCTCAAGGGAACTACCACTTTGCCCCATTGCACGTGCCCACTGCTGGCTCTTACGTGATGAAGTCCAGGAAGCTGGCCAAAGGTTCATAGGCGTGATTTCTCATGTGGCGGAACTCCACCACCATCTTCTCCTTCAGCTTGTCATCAATGACAGACACAGTGAGGGGAGAGGCTTCGTTTGCAAGGAAATTCCCATAGTCTGTGCTCTGGAGATGAAGCTTCAAATCTGGGGGGAGAAATGAAGGCAAGTGTCATGACTGACTGAAGCACTACAGAGAACAGACCAAGCAAGGCCAATGGTGATGGAAGAGGTTTTTCTAGAAAGGTGCCGCAGCAACACCTGCTGGGTAGAATGAGGTGGTTCTACTTGTCTAATCTGCTGAGCCTGCCAAGCACAGACCCAGGAACGTGAAAAGGTACAAGGCCATATTTTGCAATAGAAATAAAATGAAGGATACCTCATGCCCCATTGTTACCATACAGCAAGCCTTGTATTTTATGCCGTGGCCAGTGCTGTGGCTTTGCCAAAGGCATGTGATAACAGCCACAAGCTTGGAAGTCTCTGTAAGGAACAGCAGGCTGGGGCTGGGGCTGGGAGTGGCAGTTGAGGCTGTAAACTTGCCAAGCAGCATTTTGGGCCTAGGAGAGGCAAAAGAGAAGAAACAGGCTTCTCTGATCCCTTCTTCACTGGGCCAGCTGACCCATTCATTCCATTCTGCCACCAGGAAGCCTGACTGGCCTCCCAGTGCTATTCCACTGCACCCAAGTGCCTGGGAAAGAACTGTGCAAATACTCAAGCACCCTGATGCAAGCCTTTCAAAGAAGCCAGTCAAAGCAACCAGCACATTCAACTTCAGCTAGTTAGTACGTCGTGAAAGAAATTATTATTTTCAATTTGTCCATTTCCCAGAAGACAGTGACTATGAGACCATAAGTGGACCAGATGAGAGATGACCTGCTCATATGGCGAGTCATCAGTACAAAACACCAGAAATACCTTTGCCAAACAACTTTTCAAATAGAGGTCAACCAAGCAGTCATTTTAAGGTATATGGATCACTTTTATTATGGATTTTTATTGTTTCATTCTCTCTTTTACTCCACTGCTTAGAAACGCTAGTGATTAAGTGATATATAAATTCTAGTGTCATAGAGAGGGAGAAAAACCTTTTTCTATCCACTTTCTCCATGCCATGCATCATTTTATAAACTTCTAGCATGTCACTTTTTACTTGTATTTTCTCTAAACTAAAAAGTCCTAACGGCTGTGACCTTTCCTCATATGAAAGTTGCTCCATCCCCATGATCATTCTGGTTGCCCTTTTCTGAATCTTTTCCAATTCCACAACTTCTTTTTGAGGTGAGGTGACCAGAACAGAACAGTGCACAGTATTCAAAGTGCAGCCACACTATAAATTTGTATAATGGTGATATAAAAGCAGATTTAATTTTTATTCCTTTCCTAATGATCCTTGGCATGGAATTTGCCATTTTCACAGCTGCCTCACACTGGGCTATCCACTATGATCCCAAGCTCTTGTTCCTGGTCAGTCACAATCAGTTCATTCCTCCACTGGAATAACTGTTCATTTATTCCTGCTCTCTGCTTCCTGCTTCTTAGCTGGTTTCTGATTCGCAAAAGAACCTCACTTCTCACTTCGTGACCGCTAAGCTTTCTCATGAGACTTGATTCATGAGACTTTGAAAGTCTATGCATACTACTTTAACTGGGTCATCTTAATCTATATGCTTACTGGCACTCCCAAAATAATTCAAATGTGTTAATGAGGCAGGGCTCACCCTTGCAGAAGCCATGCTGGTTCTGCTTCAGCAAAGGCTTATTCTTCTACATGCTTGGTTATTTTATCTTTAATAACACTTTCCACCAGTCTTCCGGAAGAAACATTAAGCTAACTGGCCTAGTAATTTCCAGAATGCCACGTGGATCTCTCCAAAAATTGTTGTCATATTAGCCATTTTCCAGTCTTCAGATATGGAGTCTGATCTTAGTGACAAGTTACATGTTTTTGTTGGAAGATCAGCAATTTCAGTAAAGGTGCAGAGGGACTTAGTGGACCAGTCAGGAATGGAGAGACATGAGGCCCAGGTTGACATGCTGCTGTAGCGGGAAAAGGAAGCTGGCAAGAAATAGTTCAACCCTGTGTCAAATCCACATGCACAGACATATTTTCTCTTTCACTCAAGACAAGTTCTGAGGAAAACAGGTGAAGCTTTCCCCCACCAAGGCATAGGCGAAGAGCAGGGCCACTACCAGTCACAGATGTGGCCCACTGGCTTACAACTACCTGCCCTGGAAAGGCATCTCTTATCTGCCAAGGAAAGGCTTCATGGTTCAGGCTCTGATAATCAGGCTTCTTTAGGTAAGGGCTCTAGCTCCATGGTCCCCAAAGGTCTCAGGTTCAATCCCTGGCAGCATCTCCAGAATGGGCTAGGTAAGGCTTCCATCCGAAACCGTGGAAAGCCTTTGCTGCCAGTCAGTGTACACAACAACAAAGCGAGATGGACCAGTCTTCTAACCTGGCATGAGACAGCACCCAGTGCAGGCTAAATACATCCAGTTATTTCAGCCTTGCTTCCCAAGACCTGCCCTTCCAGCTTCATGCTATGCTTGCAGCTCTCTTGCACTGACTAACCCCCATCCCAGCTGTTCTGACAAAGACTCCAGCATGCAGAATGATCTGGTCATGCTCTACCCAAGTCTGTACCTTTTGGGCTCCACATAATTCCTTTATGCATCCCTACAGGCTGTGAGCCTCACCAGTCATGAAAGCCACAAGTTTAAACATGCTCTTTAAAGAGCCACTTGTGGCCCCAGCACAAAGGATTCTTCTTCCTTTCCTTTTTCTGAGAGTTCACTTAACAGACCTTCCCTCGGGCAGTAAAGGGGCACAGAAGGGGTGGGGGGTGGGGAGAAGAAGAGACTGAATGGAACCAGATGGAAAACACCCGCCCAAATTGCTCCGAGTTTCTTGGAATCTAAAGAACTTCAAGGCTCTCGATGCCTCCAGGGAAACAGCAAGTTGCATAATCACAGCTCAACTTTACAGCAAGAACCAAGTAAAGGGGGAAGGAGAGAGATTGCATCCAAGGTCAAAAGGAGCAGTGCCTCTCTCTGAGTGAGGCGCAAAATGGGGGCCAGTCACATGCAAGACCAACCAAATCAAAGGCTGGTTTGGAGCGACTACTGCCTCTCACACTAGCAGCTGGACAGCAGCCTCCATCTTATACCTGTGATAAGTTACTTAAATACAAAAGGTCAGAGCACCTAAGGCACGGGTCAAGGCACCCTCTTTTGCCAGGTCTGATCTAGCAATACAGAGTTATCCGCCCAAGTTATTTCAAAGCTCACTTGCAAGGCTGCAGGAAGGCAGAAAAATCTCACTGATGCAGCAGCATCTTTTCAAGCAATAAAGTTGCAGGATTGGAAACCACCCTTTCTGTGGTAAAATCTCAAGGTTCCTCAAGTTCCTGTTTTTCATAAAAAAAAAAAGCCAAACTAGCGTATTTGATCTTTGAGAATAAAGGGGCCTAGAAACTGAGGCTAGTACACCCTCCCTACCTGCAGCAGATAACAGTGGCCACCCAGCCTCTCTGTCTGAAGACCTCTAAGCAAAGGAGAGCCCAGACTCTCTATAGGCTCCATGGTCAGACAGCTCCTACTGCCAATCCATTTCTCCTAATGTTCACCTGAAATGGACTCTTTTGCTTGTGCTCTCAGCACACTCAATCAAATCCTGCTCCTTTGGGCAGCAAAGGAAACTCCTTTGCCCTCCTCTGCCTGGAAGCCCTTCAGGTATTTGAAGATGGCTATATCACGCTCCCCTCTAAGCTCCAGGCTAAATATGCCACATTCTTCCAACCTTTCCTCATCTCCAGATCAGCATCCAGCATCCTGCCCAGTGACCAACCTAGTGGCTATGGCCGAGAGGGCTCTCACTCTATTTTGAGCACAAGCCTCTCCCTCTGCAGCTGCTAAGGAAGACCCAAACACATCACAGCTTCCTCAAAGGCACAAATCCCCCAAGCACTTTGCTTTGGCTACTGAGAGCTTGGGCAGATGGGGAGACAACCTCAGTGCCCTCAGTGGCTCCAATTCTGAACAGGGCACATCAGGGACTTGATGCAGCTGAAGGACAGGCCCCCTTTCAGACCACAGCCAGTCCAGCAGGTCCTCCTGCAGGACACTACTGGGGGGGCAGGGAGAGAGAGCATCCAGGCCAGATCCAGCCCAAAAGCAATTTTTATCTGGCTTCCAATGGTCTACCAAATTTTACAAAACAAAAAAAATTCCTTCCAGTAGCACCTTAAAGACCAACTAAGTTAGTTCTTGGTATGAGCTTTCGTGTGCATGCACACTTTCTTCAGAAACACATCTGAAATTTTACAAAGATGTGGTGAAAAGTTTGCCCACATTTCTACTTATAAAGAAGTTAAATTGCTTTATAGTTGCATGAGATGGTAGTCATGTGCAAAGGTGGCATCTGCATGCCAAATGCCCTGGGAATTCCATGTTCCATAATGACAAAGCCCACATCACTATACCTCACTGGTTTTATTACAGAATCAGACTGTCAGCAAGCATGACAACCCTTCCCCCAAGGAGCACAGAGTGGCTGGCCATCCCTCTTTAAGAAGATCCTCCCCCTTTGGCTGCCTGTCTTCATGGCTTCTATTCATCTGCAATGCTAATCTGACTTTTTTCAAAGGTTAATGGATTTCGGGCTGTTCCAAGGACAGAAAGGCCCAGCAATGATGGGCCAAGCCTGAGGGCAGACAAGGATGCAAACTTCAAGCTTGCTCTCTAGAAGAGGCGCCTTTAAGGGACACAGCAAAGTCTCCAAATATGGGCAGCAGCTGCAGTTTGACCAAACAAATGAGAAACATGGGGACAAATGAGAAACCAACATGGGGTTGTTGGTTAGACCTGATTTGTTGGTGTGCACAACTGACAGCTGATCATCTACATACTCTGCTTTTAGTCTTATGCTTTTCATAGGAATAGCTCAGTTTTCCCATCCATTTCAGTGGTCAAAGTATGACTAAATTATTTTATGTTGTGTTTTCTGGCCCCTCCCTTCAATCATTCCTCAATCTCCTTCTGGGCCATGGAAGCAGGTATTTCTGTACCTGTCTGCATGCACTTTTTAACAAGAAATCACTGGAAGTGCACAAGAGCTGGGCAGTTGAGCATCCATTTCTATCTGA